ATTAAATGTGGCGGTATTTGCTAAAAGACATGGAAATAATGAACTCTTGGATTGGGATGAGGATCACTGCTACTTCGAAGGCCATATTTTCTCTGTTTTAAGTGAATGTCAATTTTAAGGCATTTTTTAATTAAAGTTTTTTCAGGGGAGAAATTGTAGTACATAAAAAAATACTCAAATATTTTGGAATTCCAGGACAAGTGAAGAAACACCTAAGTTATTGCACTCTGTTCTATGGAGTGATTTGAAATTTTGAAAAAGGTTCCTGTTTGCCTTTAAAGCATTACTGGCTAACAGAAACTTACTTGCTCACCCAGCTAAGTCTACATAGTGCACTTCACTTTCTGCCTTCAGGGCACTGGGATTCTCTTAGTCTTCTTAGGTTTTAAGTTCCATGTGTTTAGCTCTTTACAAATGATGGCTTCCGGGAGGGGGGAGAGGTAAAACCCAGTTGTTGTAAAGGGTCTGGCCACTGTGTTTTGACTATGCTTCAATGAGTATATGGGCATAATGAATTGAACTTGGTTTATTTTTTATTTGGAAGGGGTGAAATGGTAGGATGGTAGACTTTGAAGAAATGGAAATGGTTTGTGAATGGGATGCACTGCATGGGGAAAATTAAGGAAAAGAAGTATGCACAACAGAACCGAAATTTGATACAGAAAATTATGAAATTCTGTCATTTATTTGTTTATTTAGTTAGTTATTGTGTGTGTGTTATTGACCTATGATCACATAGAATACAAGGAGTGATTTCCAAATTTTTGAATTTGTAAAGGTTTTTTATGTCCCAAGATATGGTCCATTTTAAAACATCTTCCATGTGCTGCTGAGTAGAATGTTCATTCTTTGACATTGGGTAGAGTATTTTGTAGGTATCCATTAAGTCTACTTGCTGGAGGATTTTAATTAATTTTGATGTTTCTCTTTTGATACTTTGTCCAGATGAACTGTTTACCTGAGAAAGTGGTGGTATTAAAACTGTCAACTATTAATAGATGGTATGAATTTCTTTCTTTATATGACTGATTTTTTTTTCTCTTGCAGTTTTCATAATACTTTCTTTCCTAAGTCTACTTCATGTTTTAAGTATTATATGCCATGGGGCATTTCTCTTTTGTTCTTGTTTATTTCCTGTTCTGAGAACTTCCATGTGAATATTTTGAAGTTTTTATTTCTTATTTCTGTGAAGGATACTGTTGGATTTTTATTGGGATTGAACTGAATCTTAATAACTTTTAGTAGAGTGGTTATTTTCACAATGTTAATGTTGCTAATTTATGAGCATTAGAGGATTTTCCATTTTCTAGTGTCTTTCTCAACATGTTACTCTGATATAATCATTTCACATTCTACGCATTTGATATTTTTTAAAATTCTTCTGCCATGTACTACATTCCTACTGTAGCCCCTCTACCTCTCCTTCATGCAAAGTTCTCCCCACTTCCCCTTCTCCTCAGACTCACCCCCTTCTGTACTTTCTCAGAAAAGAGCAGCCCTCCCAGGACATCAACCAAACACAGCATAACAAACTACAGTAAACCTGGCATATACCATTACATTAAGGCTGTGTTAGGCAACCTAGTACAAAGAAAAGTGTCCCATAAATAAGCAAAGGAATCAGAGACAACTCTTGCTCCCACTGTTTGTGGTCATATAAGAACACTAAATTCTTCAGCCATAACATATGCAGAGGGTCAGACCCCTATAGGCTCCCTGATCTCTGTGAGCCTGCATGAGACCCAGCCAGTTGATTCTGTAGGCTATGTTCTTGTAGTGTCCTTGATCACTTTGATTCTTCTGGTCATTTCTCCCCCTCCTCTGAAGGACTCCACAAACTGCACCCAATATTTGCCTGTGTGGCTCTGCATCTGTTCTTTTCAGCTGCTAAGTGACGTCACTCTCATCCTTTTGATGATCATTCTGCTAAAATCTATCTAGTCCAAGATGTGTAGTATTTTTTTTGTTGTTCTTTGTGTACACAAACACGAAACTTCCTTGAGGGATTTCATAGCCATTGATTTCAGATCTTTCTTCCTTTATAGAGAGATAAATATGAGTACTAGAACATGTTACTTTAAATCAGTATTCTGGTTCCAAAATTGAGATGGATCAAAAACTTGGCCTCCTTTTCCATATTTCACAAGAATTATAAGACTACCTAACTCTAATTTCAGGCAAGTGACTACACCACATGATGAGAATTTAAGCAAAACACAGTAGAGGATGAGAGTGGACATGAATGGGAAAGTATTTCTCAAAAGAGTCTTTCATGAACAGGTTGCCTCCTACACAGCATGTAGGAAAGAGAAGAAGCTACTCTCGGCGCATCATATTGAGAGAGCCAACAGCTCTATTTCCTGAGCAACTGCACAAAGTGAAGGCTGTTGGGTAGTGTGAAGTTTACAGTGAGAATGGCCCTCATATATATAATCTAAATGTTTGGTTCCCAGTTGGTGGATTGTGTAGGAAGGGTCAGTAAGTGTGGCCTCATCAGAGAAGGTATCACTGGTGGTGGCTTGCGAATCTCAAAGCCCAATCTGGGTTCGGTCTTTCCCTCTCTTAGACTATTGCTTATGATCAGAAAGAAGTGCTCACCTTCTCTTCCATGCTTTCCTGCCTGCTACTATGCTTGCCACCATGATGGTCATGGACTCACCCTCTGAAACTGTAATCAAGACCTCAATTAAATGATTTCTTCTGTAAGTTGTCTTGGTGATGGTTATCTCTACAGCAATAGAACAGTAACAGACTGGAAGTCAGGTTGAACTCTCTGTAACATGGACCAGGTAGAGGAAGAATCTAAGTAACTTGTGGAGTGAGTCTGAAGGAGATTTTCAAAGACTAAAGTCTGTGTTCCTCATTTGGGTCATAAATTTGTGGGCTAGTAACAAAATATTGTTGGAAAATATCAGTCACTAAATTTTGTAAGACATCTTGGTAGAGAAAAATCCCATGTTAGGGTTTTCCTGGAGATGTTTTCTGTGAGAGGTCCTCCACTTATGGAGAAAACAGTATTTCTTGGGTTCAATGCCCCAGTTATCTGTAGCAATGACTTTTAAACTATCCTGTCAGAATATCGACAAATTTCTAGTTTTCTAGGAATTTGATTGAAATTTGTTTCTGTATTTCAGAAGGCTGAGCAAACCCCACTTAGAGACATACACAGCTCTCCCTCACAGGGCCACCCCCCTCAACTCTCCTGTACCCTTGGTTTGTGTGCAGCTTCCCCTGCAGTCTCCCTCACTGTGTCACTCACAGCACAGTAGTACAGGGCAGAGTCCCACAGCTGCGCTGAGGACTTCTGCAGGTGGAAGGAGCTGTTGCTCTTATGGAGAGTGGCGTGGAACCCTTGGGGCTCTGTCCTCTTGTTGTCTGTGATGCCCCTCAGGAGTAGCCTAGGGGCTTTGTTGAGATATTGCACATACCACCAAAAGTAAGAATTTGAGTATGTAGTCTGATATGTGCAATTCAACAACACAGGTGACCCCTCTGTGACAGTAACCAGGCCTTCTGGCTGGATCACTGAGTCTCCATTGCTACTCCCTGAAAATAAATAATAAATAAATAAATAAGAAGAAATCACTCTTTATACAAGGAAGTAGGTAAAAGCTTCCATAGTTGTAAGAAAATGACATCATCAGCGCTTAGGGTAAATGTAACTTACCTAGCATTAATAGGAGCATCAGGACTGACCAGGTGTCAGGAAGCATGTTCATAGAAATCAATAACACTTTGTTCTTGAGTTCACCAAATTCACAGGCAAGTCTCCTCAGGACCTTATTGAAACTCATAAACAAAGACTTCCTTCCGCACAGTGACAGTCTGTGATGTAAAGCCACCACCTGAAGAGGCACCGCCCTCTGATGATTTCTGTTCAAACTGCACAACACCTGGTGAATAAACTTGAAATCTCACCCAAGGACACAGATCTCAAGTCCCCAGTGGTTTCCTGAATTTACCAGTGTTACTAAACTATGTGTAGCCTTTGGTATTTAGTGTGATGAATATGCACACAAACACACACATTTCTGACAAAAATTTATATATTTTCTTATTTCATTAGCTCCCAGAATATATTATGGAACTAATTTTGATCATGCTCATCTGCTCTCTTCAATCCTGCCAGCTCCATCCACTCTTCTCTATAAACCCAGTTTTGTTCATTCATTTAAAAAATAGAACAAGCACATCAAGGTTTGCATTTCAGGAGGTGATGCCCATATACTCTTGGATGTGTGGCCTTACTAGTGGGCAGTCTATGCACTAGGGATTTACTTTTAAAGAAACCCAAGTCTCTCTCCCAGCAACTACTTCACATAGCTAATGGTGGGAATGCACACCTTCACCCCTGATCAAACTGTGGCAGCCCTGATACTTTGCAAGTCTTACATGTGCTGTAAACCTGTGAACACATGTGGGCAGCTGCCCTGCTGTGTCCAGAAAACACTCTTTCCCTGTACTCATCCCCCACTTATCGCTCTGACATTCTTTCCATCCCCTCTTCCTCAGTGACCTTTGACCGCGGGATGAGGTTGTGTGATTGATGTGTCCCATCTGGGTCAGGTGTGCTACAGCGTCTTCTTCTCTGAAGAATGTGAGTTCTGATTATCTGTGACAGAAATCATGTGCTGCAACCAGGGGACGGGAATAGCAAAACTGTGTTTCAAATTTTAAAATATTTTTTAAAGAAGGAAAAAACAAAACCAGTCCAAAAGAACTTCAGGTATTTGAAGCTAACCTACTTATTTTGTGTTTTAATGTCCACACCGTAGTTGGCAATTGCCCGGTAACAACTGGCAAATGCTGCACTGGAAGGCCTGTAATACAGGATGCTGATGGGGCTCCAGACACTGTGGCAGGTTTGAGGACAGGCTGTATGTGACTGGGGAACAGTGGGTATCTGCGGCACAGAAATACATGGCAGAGTCTCCAGGCTGGTTGTCTACAATGTACAGGGAGTAGTGTTTGGCTTTCTTATCTTGTAAAGCTATCAGTCTTTAGTCTTCCTTTCTTTGCACATTTGAATGAATGTCAACAATGAGCTTAGGATGCTCTTCAAGTCCTTGCTTATACCAAAGAAAGTTGTACATGGTTCTGTCCACATATGTGCAGTTGATGACAGCGCTGGCTCCCTCCTGGACTCTCAGGGTAGAAGGATGCTCTTCCACCTGTTCTCCTTGGCTCACCCCTATGCAGAAAGATGGAAAGAAAGGAGAAATGTGGTCAAGTCATCACTTTGCCAAATTTTATTTTCTTCTCTCTCTCCTTTTAAACAGTAGTAGAAAAAATCTTACTAACATAGAGTGCCTCTGGATGTGTCAGAAATACCCACAGATTATTCTGTAGCCCTAAAATCTTAGCTCACCATGCCTCTGCCGTCACAGAAACATGAATAAATAAAAAAACATATGTCTTCACTATTCTTTTCAAATAAATTAAGGCCCAGTATAAATTGTGATGACTAGCTGGTCAGCTGTTGCAATCAGGATGTTGTTCTTTCTAAGGAACAATTCTACCTCTTGAGTCATCCACTCAGCCAAAGAGAAAAGGCTGTGCTTCTGCCCTAACCCTGCACAATCAGCATGCAAGGAAGTCAGTCCACTGCATACTCCCCAGCAGCTGAGGTCTACTACCACCTTGTGGTTGCATCCTTAACCAGTGAGGCCTCTGCTAAAGTGTTCTCTGATATGTGAGGGACTCAGACACTTAACAAACAAATATGCCGTAACAAGTGTGTTCTAGTGTTGAGAGATTAAGAATAGTGTTTGAACATACTAATGAATCTGTTTCCTGTCTTCAATCTAGCAAAGCATATATATAGTGTCACCAGAGGAGAAAGGTAAACAACAACACAGCTATAAGTCCTTTGTTCCTCAATGTTGATCTCTATACATGATACAGTGGTATGATAAAGGGAGAGTTGATATTGGTGTGATCTACCAAATTCTGAATGAACTTAGGGCCCATTAGATGGAATCCATGCCTAATACTGCTCTAGTGGCCAAAAACTTGAGATTAGACAGGCTATGGACCAAACGGAAAAACAAATATCATTGTCCTACTAAACATCCATAGCAATATAATGACTTCTAATGACTTTCTACAATACCAATAGATCAATGTGTTACTCAGCAAGCACCAGAGAAGCTTTCACTTGTAGTAGATGGCAACAAACACAGAGATCTACAACTCCACACATGGAAACTATGCAGAGAAAGAGAGACATTGGAACACCCAGTCCTCAATAGATTGTCTCCATTAAAATTCTCATCTCAGGGTTCAGTGAATTTTGCTGAAGAGAAAGCAAAAGGATTATATGAGCCACTAGGGATAGAAGGCAGTAAGGATATAATGCCCTGCAGATACATTGTATCACATATGAACTTATAGAGTTTATGACAACATGCAAAGGACCCTCACATATCCCATACAGATGGGGTCCCAGTGCTAAGAGGGTGAAATGGACTTTTCTTCTAAGTGAGAAGCTATCTCCAATTGAAAATTGCTCACAAGGGAAAATTTATAGTTTTCTCCAAGAGCGTTTCTCTGGGTATGCAAACCACACTTAAGGTAGGTCTCATACCCAGCAGTAGATGGCCAACTCAAATAAACTCAAATATATTTTTGTTTGTTTGTTTTCTAGGTCTTTTAATGCTTTATCTGAGTCATTATTTAACATATCAGTTACTTTCTTATATATTATGGTTACCAGTTTTGTGGTGTTATATATTTTTGTGTGCATGCATGTGTCTTTGCATATATATGAGTTCCTCATGTGTTTTATTTGTTATATTATGGTTTGTTTGATTTTTTATTTCTTTGTTTTCCAAAAAGAGAAAATGAAAGTCTGGAGTTAGATTTGTGTGGAGGTAAAGATATGCATATAAAAGTACAAAAAAACTTACAGAACAAATAGGTTGGACCATAAAAGAAAGTTCCCTTGAGACATAATAACTAAAACACTAAATACACAGAACAAGAAAAGAATATTAAACACTGCAAAGGAAAAAGACCAAGTAAGATATAAAGGCAGAAATAGTAGAGCAATACCCTAGCAATAATTCTTACTGGAAAAGCTGTTACTGCCATTACTTCTAGCCATGCTCACTTATATCTTATTGGGAATTAAGATTTTCTTATTATCTGGGAAGCTCATGTAATCTATATTTGGAAAAAATGTAGTTGCAATGGCGATTTAGCTGACTGAATCACAAGAGGGGGTGAGTTAATTTGCAAACTCTGTAAATATTTGAGCCAATCCAGTCAATGTTTTCACCACTCAGCTGCTGTTTCAACATGAACACAGCAAAGGAGAGACAATTTGGGAATCAATGAGCATGGCTGCTTTCCAGTTCCTTATAAAGACAACTGGCATGCCAGAGGTTTTCAGCTCTAGAAGATAAGATACCATCCCTTGGGCAAAAGCAGTGGTTGGGATCATATTTAATTACTGTATAATGAAATAATACCCTATTGTGTGACCTTTAGGAGGGCTCCACTTTTTCTTTTGAGAGCTATCTTTGAATGAGAAGTTATGTGTATATATTACATTGAAGATGTGTAAATATTTTGTTAGAATCAGTTTCTACAAATATTATTCTAATAAAAATTGCAAATATAGTGCTCTAGTTTGTCATTTATCTTTTGTCTCTGATTATTTTATGTGAAATATTGTTTTATATTGCTTAATTAAATGCATATTTTTAAGAATATCAAGATACTGTAGAAATGATGTCTTAATTTAATAATAAGATTTAGCTTGCCTTTTATAGCTTTGTTAGATCTTCAAATTTAATTCTTTTATCAACTTTATATGAAGTAGATTAGCTGTAAGTGTTTTCCTAGGGTCTCTAAACATAGAATGTTTCCTGTTTCCAATTTTGAGACATGATTCAAGAGGTTCTGGAATGTGTAAGAGAGGCTTATATTTCGTGACAATAGCACAAACATTTGGTGAAATAAAGTATACATCTTAGTCATGTGGGCTGATGTTTCTGAACATTTAAGCTTATCCAAATCAATGACATGTCAATCTGAATTTAAGCATGAATTTCTGCTGTGGTAATTTTGTTTCCTCACAATTTCTTCGTAATTGGTGAGGATCTGATAAAACCACCACTGTGAAAAGCCTCCTGTCGAGTCTCCCCATGTCAGGGCTGCAGCTGCACACCCAGCTGCAGTTTGGGACCAGGCTGAAGGCTTGTAGAAAGCACTGTGCCTCCACTGCACAGAGGTAGGTGCCTGAGTCCTCTAGCTGGGCATCCTCTATATGCAGGGTGCTGTAGCGCTCCTTGGAGTTGAATGTTGATGTTAGCCTTCCATTCTCCTTTGTTCCAGGAGTCAGGTAAAACAGTCTGATGAGGCTGCCCCTGGGATTCTGTCGGAACCACTGCACACTCATGATGGTGGTAGAAAAATTGCATCTCAGGGCAGAACTGGTTCCCTCATGGAGACTCATGTCTGAAGGACTGTGCTCCACATCAAGTCCTCTCACCCCTGCTTGGAAACAGAAAACCAAACCAGAGTCAATGAAGAGTTTTCACCCACACCAGTCAAACATCCCAGGGAAGACCATGAGGATGACTGCACATGAGCTTTGAATTGACTCATTCCCCCTCCACCACTGACATCTCTGCAGAATCCCATCCCTAAAACGACTTAGGTGAGCACAACTCACAGCAAATCTGCACCCACAGAATCCCCAGCACAGTTCCCAGTTTACTCTCCATGAGCCCTGTCCAACTGCTGGGTTGTCTTCTCTCCACCTGTGAGGGTATCAAGAATTTATGCAGACACGCTTGTGTTACACACAAAAGGTTCCCCCTGATTTTCTGAACTTACTCTTTCATCTAAACAGTCCCACCCACCTTCACCTTATGACTCTACAGGGTAAATGATCCACAACCATGGAGGCCAAGAGGCAGATCCCAGGACTGTATATTTCTAATGTAGCATTTCTTATAAGGGGAATTTGAGACAAAATGTGTGAGGAAAGAGAATTCATAAATTCAGAATACTGGTGTGAAAACTGATGTCACCAGTGAGTTAAAAGAGCCTTGCAGAATCTTAGCAAGACTTTTTTTTAAACCTTTTTATGTAAAGAATTTCAGACAATATATTCTGCTCATGGTCTCCCATCTCCCAAGTCTGCCTAAATTTTTTCTACCTCCTCACTGTCCCAACAGTGTGCCCCCTCTCTCTAGAAAGGAAACAGACAGGCAAATCAGCACACCAGAATTAAAAAATAATAACAAAGAAGAAACACACATCCAAAACCCACAAAACATGACAGGTGTATATAAAATATAGACAAAAACCAATAAATGCAAAAACAAAAATCTAAACTAAGCAATATGATACAGAAACACCATTGAGCTCATTCTGTGTGGCCATCTACTAATGCGCCTGGGACCACCATTCAGTGTGCTTAGTATGCCTGGTTAGGAGGTTCTTCTGTATTTGTGTTGCTTTCATTGGTTAAATAAAGAAACTGCCTTGGCCTTTTGATAGGGTAGAAGCTTAGGTAGGCAGAAAAGACAGAACTGGATGCTGGGAAGAAGAGCAGAGTCAGGCAGATGCCATGGTTCTCCTGCCCGAGGTGGACGCTGGTTAGACTCATGCCGGTAAGCCACAGTCAAGTGATGATACAGATTATTAGAAATGGGTTAAGCTAATATGTGAGGGTTAGACAATAAGAGGCTAATAATGGGCCAGGCAGTAATTTAATTAACACATTTCTGTGTGGTTATTTCGGGGGCTAAGCTAGCCAGGCAGCTGGGACAAGCAACCTGCCACTCCTCATACTACAGTATGCTCAACAAGAAAGTTCTTACATCATAAATGGAACAAGTCAGCATGTAGTGCATTATAAGGAATAAAAATATTTCTTGAAATTATCAGATCATCATGTGCATAGAAAATGTTCCCAATGATAGGTTTATTGATTTTTTTTAAAAAAAGGCCTTGCCTGTGTTTTTACCATGATTTATTTTCCATCTCTTGGTTTGTGCACAGCTCTTTTTCACAGCTGTGCAGGAAAGATGTCTGATCCTGATCTGGTTGTGAATGACTGCTCTCGGTCAGCGAGCTCTTCTCTCTTGTATTTTTTTAGAATTTATATTTCCTGGTTTTCTTCTCTAAGTAGTTATTCTTTTCTTTCTCATTCAGAGGATAGATAGATAGATAGATAGATAGATAGATAGATAGCTTGAATATATCATATATGATATAAAGGAAATGGGATAATTTCTAGTTTTATAAATTTAGAAAAAATTGAATATATAACTTAAAAAATGAAAGCAGTTGGGATGTTTTCTCTTAACTGTCATTTCTCATGATGCCCAGTGAGATTTTATTTTGCTTACATCTGTTCAGAGAATTATTATTATTATTATTATTATTAATTATTATTATTATTATTGGCTTTTTGAGACAGTTTTGCTCTGTAGTTTTGGAGCCTGTCCTGGAACTGGCTCTTGTAGACCAGACTGGTCTCGAACTCACAGAACCTACCTCTGCCTCCTGAGTACTGGGATTAAAAGCGTGTACCACCACTGCCTGGCTCAGAGAATTATTTTTAAAATAGGTTTATAAACACATAAGATCCAGCGAACAAGCTCTAGATATCTGTGGGTTTTGTATAGAATAATTGAGAACTTAAGACCAGGGAATTCCACACAGTCACTCCTACTCATTGCTTTGTGAGTAGATTGTCTTATGTCTCCTCTGGAATAGTCAAACCTCTAGGCAACATAAGAAAAATAATTTCTAGGGAACCCTACAGTGCCCCCTGGTGGATTGACACCACCAACAAATGACTTGAGGCCATCTCCTTGTCTTACTAAACCAGCCCTTTTTACTCCATCCCTTCCTGGCGAAGGAAATGCAGATAGTAGGAAAGCATCACTGTTTAGATGGAGTTCTAAGAGGAATTGAAAAATGGCTAAAAATATCTTAAAATTAGCCAGGCGATGGTGGCGCAAGCCTTTAATCCCAGCACTCGGGAGGCAGAGTCAGGAGGATCTCTGTGAGTTCGAGACCAGCCTGGTCTACAGAGCTAGTTCCAGAACAGGCTCCAAAGCCACAGAGAAACCCTGTCTCAAAAAACTACAACAACAAAAAAAATCTTAAAATTGATCATCATCATTAGCAAATAGGAAAATGCAAAGTAAAACAACTTTGAGATTTTATTTCACCCCAGTCAGAATATCTAAAAATCAGGGAATCAATGACTGGGGAAGTTGTGGGGGGATTAGAGAGCCATATTTACTCTCAGGAACATGCATATTTGTGCAGCTACTCAGGAAATAGGTTTGGAGAATCTTCTAAACACTAAGATGAGTCTTTCACATGACACAGCTAGATTACATTCTGTTCTGTGTCCAAAGAATGCTGCATCCTACTACACAGATATTCGTTTATCTGTGTTTTATTTCTATTCTATTTACAGTAACTAGGAATGGCTAAGATCAAAAACAGCAATGATAGTTTATGCTGGAGAGAATGTGGAGTAAAAGGAGCACTCATCCATTGCTGGTGGGAATCCAAACTTGTACAACCACTTTGGAAATCAGTATGGTGGTTTCTCAGAAAATTGGGAATCATCTACCTCAGGATCCAGAAATACTACTCCTGGGCATATAACCAAAGATACTCAATCATACTACAAAGACATTTGTTCAGCTGTGTACATAGCAACATTATTTATAATAGCCAGAACCGGAAAACAACCTAGATGTCCCTCAATTGAAGAATGCATAAAGAAAATGTGGCACATTTACACATTAGAGTACTACTCAGCTGTAAGAAACAATGACACCTTGAATTTTGCGTACAGTGGATATAATTAGAAAACACTATCCCCAGTGAGGTAACCCAGACCCAAAAAGATAAATATGGTATATACTCAGTCATAAGTGGATAGTAGCTATAAACAAAGGACATTGAACATTTAGTTCATGATCCTAGAAAACCTAAATAATAAGGTGAACCCTAAGAAAAACATATAGATCTTTCTGGAAAGTGAAAACAGACAAGATCGCTTGACAAAATTGGGAGTTTGGAGGTGGGGTGATGTAGGAGGTTCTTTATCTATCTGTTGCTTTCATTGGTTAATTAATAAAGAAAACTGCTTGGCCTGATAGGGCAGAATTTAGATAGGTGGAGTAGACCAAACAGAATGCTGGGAAGAAGGGAAGTGAGGCAGATGCTATAGTTATCCTCTCCAAGATGGATGCAGGTTAAGATCCTTCCTGGTAGGCTACCACCTCGTGGTACTACACAGATTATTAGAAATGGATTAATCAAGGTATGACAGTTAGCCAATAAGAAGCTAGAACTAATGGGCCAAGCAGTGTTTAAAAGAATACAATTTGTGTGTTGTTATTTCTTGTGTGAAGCTAGCCGTGAAGGAGCAGAGCAGAATGCAGCCCGCCGCTCCTTCTACAGTGGGGAAAAAAGAGGGTAGAAGGAGAAGATAAGGGGAGAAGGGAAGTGGTGTGGAGAACTTGAATGAATAGAATAGTCGAGAAGGAGGAAGGAGAGAGATGAGAACAAGGAAAGAGATATTGATTGAGGGAACCATTATAGGGTTAGCAAGAAACCTGACTCTAGAGAAATTCCCAGGAATCCACAAGGATGACCCTAGCTAAGACCCTAAGCAGTAGAGGAGAGAGGGCCTTATCTTGACTTTACCTGTAGTCATACTGATGAATATATTAAATATCACCATAGAAACTTCATCCAGCAACTAATGGAAACAGCAGCAGAGAGCCACATCAGAGCACTGGACTGAAATTCCAAAGTCCAGTTGAAGAGTAAGAATAATGAAAATATAAGCAAAGCAGTCAAGACTATAATGAGTACACTAATGGGAGCTCACCAATTCCAGCCAGACTGAGAAAAAACAAGTGTAGGACCAAAGTAGTCCCTCTGAATGTGGTTGACCATTGCATGCCTGGAGCAAACTGAGGAGCCTCTAGCAGAGGCACCAGAATTTATCCCTACTGCTTGTACTGGCTCTTTTGAAACCTATTCTTTTCGGGGGACACGTTGGGGCCTTGGATCTTCCCCAAAGCAATGTGCCTTACTCTCTTTGTGGATTGGATGTGGGAGAAATGGGAGGATATGTGAAGGGAATGGGAAGAGGGGTGGGAGTTGGAACTTAGACTGATATGTTTAATGAAAAGAACAATAAAAAATAAAACAGTAAAACAAAATACCTTTTAGCTTCTTTTAAAAAAAAGAATAAGCCTACCAATGATGGGGGAGTGTCATATATCAATCTGTTGATTTCATTGGTTAAGCAATAAAGAAACTGCTTGGCCCTCATAGGTTAAAACATAGGTGGGAGAAGTAGACAGAACAGAAGGCTGGGAGAAAGAAGCTGAGTCAGAGGGTCGCCATGATTCTCCCACTCCAGGCAGACACAGGTTAAGATCATTCCTGGTAAGCCAGCTCGTGGGCTACACAGATTATAAGAAATGGGCTAGTCCAGGTGCGAGAGTTAGCCTAGAAAAGGCTAGATATAATGGGCCAAGCGGTGTTTAAAAGAATACAGTTTCCATGTAATTATTTTGGGGCATAAGCTAGAGCTAGCCATGTGGGCGGCCGGGTGCCGGGGATGCAGCCCCGCCACTCCTACTATTACAACATGCCAATTTTTAACACAAATGGGAAGGTGCTCTAGGTCCTACTTCATGCAGAGGACTATGATCAGTTGATAGCTGTG